GGGGGGCTGGGCTGGGCCATGGGGGTAGCCGGGGTACCGGGGGCCGGGCTGGGGTGGGCATGGCATGGGGCCCCCCCGTTGCTCCCCCCACAGCAGCGCCTGCTGGGACTGCACGTAGCTTCGCACCATCATCTCCTTGACCTGCAGCGTGGGCGTGGTGGGGCGGCGAGCACCCGGCACCCCCTCACCTGCATAGCCTCCGCTGGCTGTGGAGCAGGTGTGCCCGTAGGGCGTGGGCAGCTTGGCAGTGGGGCAGGGTGGCAGGGCTGGGCTGGGTGCCGCAAAGTGCTCGGCCTTGACAGGGGCTGGGGGGAAACGCGGGCCCCCCGCGAAGCTGCCCCCCAGGCACGTGCCCGCCAGCCGGGGTGGGTCACAGGTGCTGTATGGGGCACTGTGGCCCATGGTCCCAGCCAGGCCCGGTGGCCCGGAGCTCACGTCCATGGTGCACCCAGGCTGGTCCCATGGCGCGGGAAGGCTGCCCCGCACGTGCTGGCAAGAGGGCAGGGAGTATTCGGGTGGTGCCAGGCCAGCCTCCCCGGTCCGATGTGGGGTGCCATAGGGAGTCTCGCTGGGCAGGGCAGGGCCCTGAGCCGGGCAGGGGAAGCCTTGCTCAGGGTAGCCCAGGAAGGGCTCTGCATCCAGCAGCCCCTCCATGCCCAGGCTCTCCAGGAAGACTTGCTCGCTGATCCGTGGCGTGCAGGGGGTGAAGCCAGGGGGCGTCAGGCTGGCGTCGGGGGCCCGGACAGCGCCTGCGCTCCGGTACCGTGGCACACGGGTGGTGGCAGGGGGCAGCTGCCCGGGCGCCTGGGCGGGCTCACTGGCCCGGCGGGGCCCGGTGCCGGGAGCCAAGCCGTAGCCCGGGTACTCGTTGGTGCTGTGTCTTCGCAGAGAAGTGCCAGGGAAGCCGCCGGGCCCCACCAGGCCCGCGCCTGGCAGCGGGGTGGGCGGGGGGCCACCCGTGGCCGCGGCGTAGGTGGCCTTGAGGCGGTACTGCTGGGCCGGCGTCAGCCCCGGCAGTCCCCCGGCCTCGCCACTGGCATCGGGGGACACGGGGTCGTAAGTGTCGATGCCGTTCGGGACCCCCCCGGCTTCGCCTGGACGCAGGAAGGGGGAGGTGGCCGAGGACCGGCGGCTCACGGTGTAGGCCGAGCTCACCGTGCTGGTGGTGCTGGCCCGGCGCTCACTGGCTCCATCACCTGACATCTCCAGGAGGCGGCGGTGGGGGGCACCAGGCAGGGGGCCACACAGCCCTGGCATCTCCCCGGGGGGTGCTGTGGGGGGCAGGGAGGGGCATTAGCATGGAGACCCTGTGCCAGAGCAGACCATGGCAAGGGGTACTTTGGGGGGTGTCTGGTACTGAGATGCACCCCCACCCCACCCAGTGCCAGCAGCCCCAGCAGCCCAGGGAGGAGCATGGGGGTCTCGCCAGTACCGGGAAGCGCAGGCAGCGTGGGGGCGCGAGCAGGTGGGGGGCGGCGCAGCTGATGCAGCTGATCCAGGCGCAGGCTCTCCAGGCGGCGCAGTGCTGCCAGCCCCGAGGCGCCCATGGGCTCTGGCACCGCCTCGTCCAGCGCCGACAGGTCCTCGCAGCTGCCCCCGGGCGGCGCATTCATCTCCACGCCGCTGTCCGTGCCCAGTGGCGACCGCTCACTGCTGCACGACGACTGCCCCCCAGGGCTGGGCTGCGGCTTCTGGAGGGCACGGGGGGCACTGCATTAGTGTGGCCCCCCCGGCCTGCCAGGTTCCCCCTCTGCACCCCCACATGGGCACTGCCCCCCCCGGCAGTGCCCAGGACCGGCACAGTATCCCCGGCTGCCCCCAGTTCTTCCCCTCACCAAGGTGGCGTCGGGGGGCAGCCGCTTGGCCTCATCACGTCGGCCCCCGTCCCGCTCCGGCAGCGCCTCAATGGGCGGTCCCAGGGGGACCCCGGCCCGACCCAGCCCTGTGTCCCCCCGGTGCTTCTTGGTGACATGGGCATCGGGTCCGTGCACCGTCTTGACGTGCTTGCGCAGGGAGCTGGGGTCCGTGTAGCGCTTTGTGCAGCCCGGCAGCTTGCACACGTATGGCTTCTGGTGGGGCAGTGGGGGTTAGCACAGGCCTGTCTTCCCTACCCCTAACACGGGCCCCGCCAGGGG